TATATATATATATATATATATATATATATATATATATATATATATATATATAGGCTTCTTTTTTTTTGGTCAAAAAGAAAAGTACCATTAACACAAACAGATTTACATATAGGATTTTCTTTAAAGTTATAAAAGCATGATAATCATTTTAGTTAAATGATTTCATACCAAATAAAACAATGACTGCATTATTTTTGGACACTGCTCCTCTGAAGAAGGATCGTTTGGAAGAGCATTCAGTGTCATGCAGCATCAAAATGTGAGCTAATTAGCTGGCGGACTGGGACGGATGAGACTAAAATAACTTCCCACAAAGGGTTTGTTGGAAGCTGAACTGGAAGGACAGACTTAGCATCGACCATGTTCCAAAACGTTTGTAACCTCAGTGTGTTCATTAGATCCTCTGTTTATTTTTCAGAGGAATCTTTACTTTAGGAATGGCTGATCTAAGTGTTACAGTAACAGTGGTGGTTCACTGCATGTTCGCAGCATTTGCTCACCAGCATGGTTATTAATAGAAACACCATTGTTTGGTCAGCCTCATGCTCAACAGACAAGGACAATATGCAATGCAGTCTGCTTTTTATAGACTTACAGAAACACAGGTCTTCTAATGTAATACTTTTCATAACACTGACTTAAAAGGAAAGCAGACAGTGTTCGTCTCGTATGTCTTGACCATAACTGCAGTGCGTCACGGAAATAACCTCATAGAAATACCCCGTGTCACACTTCCTAAAATTATAACGAGAAGGTTTGGGCTCAGCTCACCCAAAGGACAAAAAGAACATGGTTTTTCACATATGCATTATTGCTTTTGTTTATTTAGTTGTAGCTTTAGCCTAATGGGCTAATATATTTTATTACTTACAACTGTTTTTACGCATCCTTTATGATTGTCTATTATTGTCTTTGTTGTCCACTGTTGTCATCACTCTTTGTTAAAATCAGGTCTCTCTTGTGAATGAGTCCCAGAGGCTCAATGGGATTAACCTGTCTAAATAAAGGTTGAATGAATGAATATTTTATTTGTTGAAAGTTCAGAATGTATTCTGGTAAATTAAACGTGAACTTTTTTTTGTTTGTACACAATGCACTAAAGAAAGGTACTTAAAGAGCTTCAGAGCGAAGTGTCTTTTCTTGATGTTGTCTCGTTAGTCAGAAGAATACTCAGCTGTAAACATCAGACATAAATCTTTTTGTGTCTTCACCTTAAAGGACTTTTGATATTAAGACCTGCACAGCAAAGAGTCTCTAGAAAGTCACGTACAGTAGTCCCTCGCTACTTCACAGTGACTTTCGTTGACTCACTCTTTCACGATTTGTCAACAAATATTAACATATAGTTTTTTAAATGATGCAATAAAATTTTACAGTGCAGTACAGTAAACGACACACAATTGTCAACTTTACAGTAATATTACTTAGGGATGCACCGATCCACTTTTTTAAAATTCCGATCCGATCTCGATACCTAGATCTGAGTATCGGCCGATACCGATCCAGTTCTGATATCATGATCATCATTGATTTTACATGAGGCTGTAATAATCTCCTCTCAAGTACAATTTGTACAAATATTTGCATGCATGTCCAAAAAGGCAACTTGAGGTAAGTTTTATTAATGTTGGATAAGTTTTAAAGTTAGAATTAAATTCTGCTAACACAAACCATGTTTATTTTTATTCCTAGTTTTAAAGTGGATATTAAAGTGATTAATTTAAGTGATTGTTTAAAGTTGTTTTATATTTTATAAGGGGCAGATATAATATTTTTTCTTCTTTCTTCACTCTTTTCATTCAATGTTTTCTTTTTGACGATTTTTTATTTTTATTTTGTTTCATTTAAATGAATGAATACATGAATTAAATAAAATGTTAAATAGCTTCAAACATCTGCTAAGTTCATGGCATAAACCAACAGACATGTTCCTGTTTTTAGTATTTTACATCACATTATAATGTAGCTGTTTTTGTTTTTAATATATATAATTTTCAAATCATATGTTTTTTATGATTGTCTACTGTTGTACTGATAAATATCTCTGGAGGGTAAACTATATCTTGACTGTAAGTGTCAAGCTGTGAAATCCTTTGTTTTCTACAACTGATAGTGGTTGGTCATTAATTATGATGAAGTTTAGCAACTTCTCTGTAAACATTTGAGCTCCGTGGTTTCAGCGATGTCTTCTTCTTGTTCAATCCGAAGCAGGCAGCCTGATTTGGGGCAGCCACGCTCAGTCTGTCCCTCCTCAGAGACGGGTAGACTGAGCGGGGCAGATTGGACCCGGCTGGCCGGTGTCGAGTCGCTTGTTGTGGGTTGAGCAAAGAGCAGCGCCCCGCTGAAGCCACGGAGCTCGAATGTCCATCGTAAAACTAACTTTACCGTGGTTTAATGTGGCGCTATGGCTCTGTAGACATTGCACGTTGCTGTCTTGTTTTGTGGTGTTTAGTGTAAAATACTTCCACACAGCGGACATGTTTAGATGAAAAGTTGGTTAGCCATTAGCCTCACATTGTAGCTGGCTGCAAACTATGAACTGGATTTCCTGAATGTGAGGCGGGTCTTATTACTCTGGGTTCATGAGACACGCCGCCGTTCAGGAAATCCATTCCATAGTTTGAAGCCAACTTGCATCATGGATCGGAAATATCGGCAGGTGGATCGGAAAATCCGATACGTAAATTATGCTGGTATCGGAGGCCGATACCGATACTGTATCGGATCGGCCCCATCCCTAATATTACTGTACTCACGTGGTTGGGAAAAAGTTTTAAAAAATAAAATTGGACAGGCGCTGACATTTTGTAGTTTTATTTCAATCAGCCTACACTGTAATCGCCACTCATAAGAACTGCATTGCCCAGAAGTCAATACTGTACTATATTTTCTGCCGAACAGAAAGCCAAGTTATAACTGCTGAACCAGATTTTCAAACATAAGATTTTAATCATGTCACTTGGACAAGTTTCTTTAAGAAAATTAAACTTTACAAACGTAAGAGTCACAAGAAAGAACTAATGTCAGGACATGCCTCTTTAAGAAATGGAGCATTGTGCGGTGTAACCCAGGTGCTGATTGTCTGCACAGAACCGGACCCCAAGACTCAGCGGAGAACCCGGCAGATCCTAGCCAGCCCAAGAGGGCTTCCAAGTGGGGACCACCTCAGGTCCCGTGCCAGCTGCCCGAAGGTCAACCACCCTCCCACTCCCAAAAAGAAGCGCTTTGGTGGTCATGTGCTGCACTGAACCGGACCAGAACTGAACCTATAGACTCAGTGGTTAACCCGTGAGATTCTGGCTGGCCCACGAGGGCTTCCAAGCGGGGACGCACTGCTGTAGGTTCGCCGCTGTTTTTTCCGGAGCCCATC